AACTGCTGCGTTAAACCTTCTGAAAGCTGCGCAGCGTCACAAACTTCTCCAGGTGTCCAGTGTCTCTGTGGAAGCAAAACTCCAACTCCAGTCTGGCCCTGACGCTGCACTTCCACAGAGACATGGCGTCAAGTTGGCTCCAGCCTGCACTCTGTCCCTGAAGAAAGACTGAAGAAATGTCTTCTTTCTTCTCCCTGAGCCTTTGAAAGAAGACAGACTGAATATCACGGGTCATGCTCAATAATCCTGGTAGAAAAATCCAACAAAGTTAAGTCAAGTTCTCTGGACGGTTTCTTTTTTGTTGAAATGTTTCGTCTTTCATCCAGAAGACTTCGTCAGTCTGAGGAGCCACAATAAACAAAATCTTATAAATGACCTGGTGCGATTTATAAGACTGAGTTTGTTGTGGCTCCTCAGACTGACGAAGTCTTCTGGATGAAAGACAAAACATTTCAACAAAAAAGAAACCGTCCAGAGAACTTGACTTAACTTTGTTGGAAAGACTGAAGAACTTTCTTTTTACAGAGCCTCTGCTGGAGGACTGATGGTTGCTCTCAGAGGTCAGAGGTCACTCACCCAAACTCCCTTTGACTGTATGGGAGTTTTCTCTCCCAAACAGGAAGTCAAGCTTATTTTAGCAGAACTTCCTGTTGGCCTTTAGTCACAACCAGTTTTCTGTGGTTGGTTCTCCTTCAGAACCATCTGCAGCTCGTCTGTTTGGCTGTGGACCTGCTCAGAGTGGATATCAGCCTGAAGTGGTCTCAGGAGACCCTGGTCTCTAATCTCATCATCTCCTCCCGGGGCCACATGTGGCTCCTCCTCATAATCCCACAGCAGCGTTTTCATGCCGTCCCGCAGCTCCGAGGGATTAACGACATGAATATCAAGCGGCCTTGCTCTGTGTGGATCAGAACCGGATCAGAACCGCTCTGCTCACCTGAAGGTGAAGGTTCTCCTGGATGTTCTCACACATCTGTCTGCTTTGATTCTTTGTTTCCTGTTTCATCGATTTTTATCTGGAGCCAGAAACATTAAAACAAAACGCTCCTGAATTAATCAGGATTATTTAACCCATCAATCAATCAATCATCCATCAGTCATCAGTCCATCATCAATCAATCAATCAATCAATCAATCATCCATCAGTCATCAGTCCATCATCAATCAATCAATCAATCAATCAATCAATCAATCAATCATCCATCAGTCATCAGTCCATCATCAATCAATCAATCAATCATCAGTCCATCATCAATCAATCAATCAATCATCAGTCCATCATCAGTCCATCATCCATCAATCATCCATCTTCTTCCTCTCATACCTGGTTGGGTTGAGGAGCTATCAGACCTCCTCAGAGACCCCCTCCAGCTCCTCCTGGAGGACCCTAAGCTACAACCAGATCCATAATCCCTCCACAAAGTTCTGGGTCTGACCCGGCGTCTCCTCCTCTTCCTGACCAGAGTCAGAACCTCCTCGTTGGACTCAGTTTGACACCAAGTCTGATCCAGCAGGACGTGGACCAGGTCCTGATGGTGTGTGGAGACCTCTGGCTCCGCTGCAGTCCCACAGGCTGCTGGACCTTCTGGACCCTTGGGTCCCTCAGAGGAACCTTGTCTGGTTCTACAGGGTCTCTGCCCATTAGAGTTGGGTTTGCTCCACAGCATGAGGACCTGACCCCCCCCCCCCCCATAAATTGGTAGATAATCATCTTTTCATTAAACTTAGACTTTCCCTCGTCTTAACGAGAGATGCCTGGGGGGTCAGAGCATCATTTTGAGGAGGGGGAGGGGCGTCCCTTCATGGAGGACAGAGAGCAGCAGGTCCGACCAAACCGGGTCGGTCTTGAGAGATGGTGACACCCCCCCCCCCCCACACACACACACACACACACGTGTATGAACAGTCAGAGCTCTGAGGCCCACCGGCCATTCCTGTGTGAGCCTCTGATAAGGGGGTTGGAAGTAGAACGGAGGTGGTGGTGGTGTGTGTGTGTGTGTGGGGGGGTCTTCCTCTGTGCTGTCAGAGCCTCTGGACACCCCCCCCCCCCACCTCGTGTCTTGGCAGGGTAATTAAGAACGGCCTCTAAACATGAAGTGAGATGAAAGGAAATGATTAAAATAATTACAGGCTGGGAGCTGCAGTGTGTGTGTGTGTGAGTGTGTGTGTGTGTGTGGGTGAGTGTGGGTGTGTGAGTGTGTGTGTGTGTGTGAGTGTGTGTGTGAGTGTGTGTGTGTGTGTGTGTGTGTGAGTGTGTGTGTGAGTGTGTGTGTGTGTGTGTGTGATTGTGTGTGTGAGTGTGTGTGTGTGTGTGTGTGAGTGTGTGTGTGAGTGTGGGTGAGTGTGGGTGTGTGAGTGTGGGTGTGTGTGTGAGTGTGTGTGTGAGTGTGTGTGTGTGTGTGTGCCGCTGGACATTTGTCAGTAATTAGATCATTAATGTGATGATGATGATGATGAAGTAGCTGAACCAGAAACAGCTGCAGGAGAACAGCAAGATGAGGAGAACCCTTCCTCCTCCTCCTCCTCCTCCTCCTCCTGTCAGCACGTGATGAAGGTGAACATCTCGGGTTCACGCTCCTCATCTCCAGGGCATCTGTGACGTCAGACCAGGTGAGTTCTCCTGAACCTGTGGACTCTCCAACAAGCTCCTCCATCAACGAGAGCACAGCTGGCAGGTCACAGCTGGCAGGTCACAGCTGGCAGGTCACATCTGGCAGGTCACATCTGGCAGGTCACATCTGGCAGGTCACAGCTGGCAGGTCACAGCTGGCAGGTCACAGCAGCTCTCCTGTTAGAGAAGATCATCAGATGTTCTTCAGCGCTCACTACGTCTGAGCCCAGGAGACCTGCTGTGAGGTCACCACGCTCCTCAGACAGGTGAGACAGGTCCAGGTGGGATGGACTCCAGTCTGCAGTTATTCAAACATCTGGAGAAGCAGGAAGGACAACTGAGCAAACGTGACGACAGGAGATCTGAACCAGGTGGAGATAAAACCACGTTGAAGGGAAACCTGCAGTCACATGTTTCCAGACGTTTACAGATGTGCAGGTGAAAGACTCGCTGGTCACCTGGATCAGACAGTGAAGGTGCAGCAGCACAGCAGCTCCTCTACACCTCAGACTTCAGGTCCACCTCACAATCCTGCATCTGCAGAAGTTCTGGATGATCTGCCATTGTGGGCTGCACCACTGCTGACCAGGAAGATGAACACAGAGGTGAGGTGGACAGAACCAGCTGCAGCTCAACGCTGGAAAAACTAAAGAGCTGCAGGTGGACCACAGGAAGAAGATCAGCCCCCCAGCCCTGTCAACATCAAGGGTGCTGAGGTGGACACTGTGGACTGCTACAAGTACCTGGAGGTCCACCTGGACAATAAACTGGACTGACAGCTGACACCAACACCTCTACAAGAAAGGACAGTCGCCTTTTTCTTCTGAGGAGACTCAGGTCCTTTAACCACACCACTTTATTTATAGAGCACTTAAAACAGCAACAAGGCCAACCAAAGTGCTGTACAGACAGAACAACAGGTAACACACAAAGCAAAATACAAAATGAGGTAAATCAGAATATAGACATAAAAACGATGCAGATAATGACGACAAACCAGTGTGGAGCATACAGGATCAAACACAGATCATCTGGTGTTGAAAGCTACTGAATAGTAGTGAGTTTTTAAACAGGACTTGAAAACCGAGAGGGAGGGGGCCTGTCTGACAAGCAGAGGTAACTCATTCCAAAGTCTTGGTCCTGCTACAGAGAAGGCCCTGTCACCTCTGCACTTAAGACGAGTTCCTGGAACTGTGAGGAGCAACTGGTCCGCTGACCTCAGGGAGCGTGGTGGGACATACGGTTGTAGCAGATCAGAGAGATGGGGGGGGGCGCAACACTGTTCAGTGATTTGTAGACATACAGGAGTATTTTGAACTGGATTCAAAAGTGAACTGGTAACCAGTGCAGTGAGGCCAAAACTGGTGTAATGTGCTCTCTTTTGCCTGTACTGGTTAAAAATCAGGCTGCTGCATTCTGGACCAGTTGTAGTCGTGCAATGGAGGTCTGACTGATACCAAACAGGAGTGAATTGCAGTAATCAAGCCTAGATGTAATGAATGCATGTATTACTGTCTCCAGGTTCTTTTTGGACAATATGGGCTTCAGGTTAGACAGCCGCCTCAGTTGGAAGACGCATGATTTAACAATCATGTTTACATGATCTGCAGGACCATGCTGCAGATGTTCTACCACTCGGTGGTCTCCAGCATCATCTTCTACTCTGTGATGTGCTGGAGCAGCAGGTGAAGAAGCTGATGTCAACGCACTCGATAAACTCATGTGGAGCTGGTTCAGTTCTGGGAGTGGACCTGCAGTCGAGGAACCTGCTCCGGATCCTGAACACGTCACCCCCCCACTCTTCCTGCAGCACCTTCAGTCAGACTGAGACCACGTGGTGCTCCACAGAACACAGGAAGTCCTTCAAACTTTTAAACTCCTCCCCGTTTCTTCACAATAAAATTAATCTGCACCAAAACAAACTGTTGAATGTTGGATCAGTTCTGTTCCGAGAGTTTGATGTGCTTCATCATCTTGTTGTCTGGAGCACGTGACTCAGCCTCACCTCTGGAACACGTGACTCAACGCCTCACCTCTGGAACACGTGACTCAGCCTCACCTCTGGAACACGTGACTCAACGCCTCACCTGGATGAAGGAACCACTCATGTTTGTGTTCATACCTCTGAATTTTTTACATCTTCCTCAAACTCTGGCACAACAATTTCCAGCGGGATCAATAAAGTTCTGGTCATTGATTCCTGGGCTGTGGACAAGAAGCAGCAGCGCGTGTTCAGTCTTTGAAAGCTTTTAATGTTAAACAGCACGAGCATCATTCATGAACTACAAGTTTCATTTATATCCAGTAAAACACTGCGTCACGTGAAGGAACCGACAGGAAACACTTTACAACCATCTGCGGGTTCAGTCTTCTTCCCACACTCTGACAGGTTCTGACCCGGTCCTGGGCCTCCCGGAGCCCTGGTGTTGGGTTCGGACCCGGTCCAGTTCTTACTCCACCACCAGCTGGAAGTCCTCGGCCTCCCGGAACTCAGCGTTCATCCTGGCCGCCAGCGCGTCCAGCTCCTCGGCGTCGATGTGCGGCAGCTTCCGCCGCCTCCTCCGCTCCTTCACCAGCACCACCCCCGGGATGTTCGGGTCCAGCACCACCCCCGGGATGTTCGGGTCCGGCACCACCCCCGGGATGTTCGGGTCCGGCTCGGCGCGGCCCTCCTCAGCCTCCAGCAGAGACGTGAACGATGAGCCAGAACCTTCCAGGGCCGTCCTGGACTGCTCGGTCCTCCTCCACACCACCTCCGGGGTCTGGAGCCTCTCGAAGCCGAACAGAGGCTCTCGGGAGTCCGGGCTGTGGAGGGACCGGTCGCTGAGCCTGGTGTAGGACCGGCGGACCTTCTGGGACCACACCGAGCCCTCTGGGTCTGCAGCCGGCTGCTGGGGGCGGGAGGAGGCCGGTGGGGACGCGGGGAGGATCGGTGAGGGCATGGCGGCCTGCTGCTGCTTCTTCCTCCGGTCAGCCGAGGAGGGCCTGCGGTCCCGGGCGAGCCGGCCCGGGGTGGAGACCTTCGGCTGTTTCTGCTGGAGGAGCTGCTCTGCGAGGCTCGGACTGTTCTTGCCGTGTTCCGGTGTGTTCTCCTTGTTGTGTTCTGTCCGAGCTGCCGTCTTTCTGGGAGCTATTTTCCTCAAAGTGATGAAACGTTTAGCTCCGAGCGCCATTTTGTTGTCGCTTTCCAGCGGAGCAGCTTGTGGAGAACCGACCCGCGGTGAGCGTCTCCGCTGCGGGCCCTGAGAGCTGTTAGCCTCCGCCATAACGCCGTCGTGATAAAATCTGCCCGACACAAATGTTTTCCTCTGATTGTCCGGTTAAATTTCTTCAGTTGTCGAGAACAACAACGCTGCTTTCAAAATTACCCGCCCGAGTCGCGCAGTGACAACGTCAGAGTTACCGCCCACGTGCTCGAATACGTCAACAAGCTGCGCCGGCTAATTCAAAGTTTTGCTGTGTAATCAGGGCAGGTGACTCGTCTGCAGTTTTCCTGTGTTTTCAGTAATATTTCACCTTTTACTTGTTGGAAACAATGGAGTATTTAATCGGAATTCAGGGGCCGGACTTTGTGCTCGTCGCTGCCGATAATGTCGCTGCCAGCAGCATCATTCAGATGAAGCACGGTACGTTAGCTCCTTAGCTTAGCATTAGCTGCTTTACCGGTTGATAGAGTTCTGTTTTATATTGTTTATTTAATTATCTGCGTCATTTTAATCTTAGGTGTCGTTTTTTTCGTGGAGTAACATTAATGACTGTAGATGATCTTTCTGTAATACTTTAGCATGAGGATAAGAAGACAGTATTAGCTTAAAAACTAGCATCTATTCAGTTGTACCCTTATGCATGTTTTCAGTTTTATATTTTTCCATTTCAATTAGATTCCTTATAGTTTTGCTGAAAGATGATTAAATTGTTTTCTCTGCGGGTTTGTTACTCGTTAAATGAGTTTTAGCTTCATGAGAGGCTGACAGTGAAAGTGAAAGTCATGACGGGCTCCATGTTTTCTGAAGTCCCCAAATCTGAAAAACTAAAAATAAATCTTCCTTGTAATTAAATATGTGGTCAATAATTACGGTATGGTAAACAAAAAAAGCGTGCAATGGAGAAATAACAAGAAATAAAACGGGACATCTGAAATATTATTGAAACCACTATTATTAAGGATCACTTCTAGTGAAAATTAAGTTATAATGATCAGAAGTGATCATACAAGTAATGACAAAAGTCTTCATGATTGTGAAGATAACGATAAGTGGTTTTCTCTTCGTCTCTGAACTCTGTCCATAAACAGCTGCTGTTTTTGTTTCAGACTACGACAAGATGTTCAAGCTGAGCGAGAAGATTCTGCTCCTGTGTGTCGGCGAGGCCGGAGACACGGTGCAGTTTGCAGAGTACATCCAGAAGAACGTCCAGCTCTACAAAATGAGGAACGGTACGTGGACCTCGTGGTTCTGGGGTGTTGTCAGGTTCTGGTGTTACTGGGGAGCGTTTGACGCCATGTTCTCGTCCTGGTGTCCAGGGTACGAGCTGAGTCCAGCAGCAGCAGCAAACTTCACACGGAAGAACCTGGCAGACTACCTGCGGAGCCGGGTAAGTGTGCTGTTCACAGACTTTAAAACACTTTTCAATGTGTTACGTCATGAAATCAGCATATCATGATATCATTTTTTTGCCCGGGCAATCAATATCTCTCTTTAGGACTTTGTAAATATTTTAATTAATTACTTTTTCACTTTTTGGTACTTTTTTGTGTACCCTCATTGCATGCCTTTTTGTATTTTCTTGTTTGTTTGTTCTTTGATTTTTTAGCGAGTCAAATCAGTTCTTCTCATCCTAAGCATTTTATTGTTCACCTTGTGTTAACCTGCATATGACGAATAAACACAACTTGAACTTGAACTTAGATGTTCACACAACTGACCTGCAACTAGTTTCTCTAGAATTTATGAGATTAAAGTTAGATTGGATATAGATCTATAGTTGGCCAGAATTTCTGAATCAAGGTCAGACTTCTTAAGTAAATGTTTAATTACAGCAACCTTAAAGCTCTGTGGTACATAACCATCCATTAAAGACAAATTAAGTAGATCCAAAATGTGGACATTAATTAGTGGAAATACCTCTTTAAACAGTCTGGTTTGGATGGGATCTAGCAGGCATGTGGATGGGATCTAGCAGGCATGTGGATGGGATCTAGCAGACATGTGGATGGTTTGGATGAGGTTATTATTTTTGACAATTCAGAGCTCAACAGGACAAAAACTGTCCAAACATAAATCAGGCTCTAGTGAATTTTTTGAAGTTGTCTCATCTGACAGGGGACTAGAGATAGTAGAAGGAAGGATGGTTTGAATTTTCTCTCTAATTGAAATAATTTTATTTATAAAGATTCTCATGAAGTCATCACTACTTATAGTTGTAGGGATACATGGTTCAACAGAAATGGGACTTTTAAAGTCTAGCAATAGTACTAAACAGAAACATAGGGTTATTTTTATTCTCCTCTATTAAAGATGAGTAATATAAAGTTCTAGCTTTACGGAGAGCTTTTTTATATGTTAGCAGACTATCTTTCCAAGTTAAATAAAATTCTTCAACATTAGTAGAGCGCCATTTTCTCTCCTGGTTTCTAGATGCTGCTTTAAAGTACGTAACTCAGATTTGAACCAAGGAGCCAGTTTCCTCTGACTGATTACTTTCTTTTTCAGTGGAGCAACTTTATCAAGTGAAGTTTGCATTGAAGTTGTAAGATGATCAACTAGATGATCTAAGTCTCTGTTCTCTGATGCATTACTCTGCAAGACAGAAGAAAACATTGATGGAAGAGATTGTTTCAATTTGGTTACAGCATTTTCTGATAAGCACCTGCTGAGATGAAATTTACTCTCAGTGACTGTGTAGTCATTTAATGTAAACTCAAAGTTATTAAAAAATGGTCGGACAGAACAGGATTTTGAGGAACTATTACCAAGTCCTTAATCTCTACACCATAGGTCAGAACTAAATCAAGAGTGTGATGATAAGAATGAGTAGATGTGCGGACGTTTTGGGTAAAACCAAATGAGTCTATTAAATTATTAAAGGCTGTGCTTAAACTATCACTCTCAACATCCACATGAATATTGAAATCACCCATTATGATGATTTTATCAGTATTTAATAATAAGTCAGTTAATAATTCTGAGAATTCAGACAAAAACTGAGAGTAAGCGCCTGGTGGACGATATATAACAACTAGTAAAAGTGGCTTTTCTGATTTCCAAGATAACATTATTTATCTGAGGAGCAGCTTTGAGTTTAACTCCATCACTGAACTCTCATCTTGAACAAGCATGAAGGCGACAGTGGAAAGAAAAACTCCCTCATGAGGAAGAAACCTTTAGCAGAACCAGGATCAGGACAAGAGGACCATCTGCTTCGACCGGCTGGGTTTGAGAGGACAAACCCAAAAAGTGACAAAAGCAAATTTCATAAATCTAAATTTGTCATTGTTAATATTTCGTAAGAGACATTTAAATTTACGTGTAGAAATAAATTTCTTGGCGACATTATAAAACCCTGCCCTGTAAAAAAGGACAAGTTAACAAAAACCTAGGTTAACACGTTTTAAAGACCATTAAATCTACATTTGGACCTTCAGTTTTTAATTAATTTATCAGATAAACCATCAGAACGGACTAACATAAAATCATTTTTATACAACAAACCCGTCTTTGGAGGTTCTGAACCGAACCAACAATAAGTAAAACTAGCAAACTACAAATTAAGGTTTCTTCACTTTAATAATCTTCACAACAATAGATGTCACTTTTAAATTAGATTGAATCTGGACATCATGGTGGTCCAGGTGAGAACGGGTCAGACACTTGATAAATAAGAACAATAAATCAAAAGTTGTGTTTTGTGACAGACGGAGCCAACAGATAAACCTTTTGTTACCGTCTCCTGACCTGAAACTGAACAGATGAGCATATTTCTGTTTTATTTAAATGTGGAGAAGTCTCTGAACCCAGGAGACGAAGCTGAGAACGAGAGCCGTGTTCAGGCCCTCAGGCAGCAGCGCATTAAAAACAGCCGAGCGGATCTCACGACGAGCTCAGGAACACAAACGGAGCTCCTAACAAGCCCAGAACCACCGGCAGAAAATACACGATCCTGTAAAAAACCACTCAACTCCTCCACACAAAGAAAATCAGGTTAAAGAAGAAAACCCGCAGCCTGGTTTGGACCGGAGCGTGTATTAACGGGCTGAGGTGAAGCGGGAACTGATCCACCGACGGCAGGAACTGGACCGAGCTGACAGTAGGACCAAAGACTGCAGGACTCATGGATCTGATCCAAAGCTCCTCATGAGACCGGCTCAGCTGCTTCTGAGCGTTCAGAAACCGCCCTGCTGCGGTCCGACCCGTTAACACCGAGTCGTGGTTCTCCGTTTGTTTCCCTCTAACTCCGTCTTCAGACTTTATTTTAGCTGTTGTTGAGTCAAAACGTTGGGTTCATTCAGCAGATCTGTGCTGTGACGTTTGGCTTTTATAACTTTTCTACTTTTTAAAATATTTAACTTTATTCACAAACGTTAAAGCAGCAGCAGGATTAGGCTGCATTCACACCAGCCCTGTTTAGTCGCTTTAATCCAACTCTAGCCCGTTTTCCTTGAAAGTCCGGCTCGTTTAGGGAGGTGTCAACGCACCATTGAACTCTGTCACGGAACAAAAAGGTGAACTCTGGCCCGGGCTAAAACCTAGGTCTGGGTCCAGTAGAAGAGAACTCCAGCGCGGTTCCAGTACAGTGTGAATGTAAACAGACCGGCTCAAATGTAACAAAATGTCATGAATATTGGTCCCGAACCGAGTCTACGGTCGTTTTCACACCAGATAGTCCGGTAGACTCGGTTCGGTTCTGGACCAATATTCATGACCTTTTGTTACATTTGAGCTGGTGCGTTTGCATTCACACTGCACTGTGCAGTCGAGTCAACCTGTTGAAGCAACCTGTTGAACCAACCTGTTGAAGCAACCTGTTGAAGCAACCTGTTGAAGCAACCTGT